TTGCAAAATTCTTAGACTCAAATAGAAGACAATGTAATATTTTGCATGATCTTAAATGCACAAATCTAATATAATTAAATTTTATAGATTTTATCATTATTTGTTGTACTTAGCAAGCAGTCACTGCTTAATGTTTTAGATTAATTATTTTGCAGAATAAAGTTAAATGAAAAAATGAAAATCAAAATTAAAAATTGAACGTAATTGTTTGCAAATACACTATTATATATAGCTATATAATGAGTATAAAATTACAAAATGAAAAATCATGTTTGTGCCATATTTAAAAAAAATAATTAAACAAAATATTTTATTCGACATGAATATGTTGGCTGATAATTTCTGGTGTACGTAACAATACAAGTCATTCATGAACTTTTTACATTTTATCATTTTTTCTATTTTACCTATTGCAAATATAATCATAAGAATAATAATAGTTTAATCCATTTATTCATATAGCTATTAGTTTAATCCATTTATTCATATAGCCAATGAGTATTTTGCTTATCATTCCTCATTTTGTTAATTATTTCGAGTGTAAAATTAAATATCGTGAAATCTGTTTCTATCAAAAAAATGAATATGCATATCTTTTAATTATAACCAATCCCCAATCATATTTGGGACTATTTTCAAATTCCTAAATTACTATTCACGTTGATTTCACAAAATTTGGTAGAACATATTTACAACAATATTTACTATCTATTTTATCTGCTGATATTTCTTTATGTAAGGTTAAGATATTATTTCGTAATCGATTAATAAAAAATTGCTCTAATTGATCTAATATCATAGTTTCATGTGTAGCATCATATTATCAAATATTTCGGAATTTATCTGGATAATATAATAGTTCTCAATTGATTTCAAAATAGTACAGTTTCATAGTACTATATTTATTTATTTTCCGAAATCAATTGAAATTTTAGTTTAATCATTAATGTTTAATTTTGACATTATTCTCTACCTAAAATGTTGCAACCGACAAAACATTCTCACAAATGATTCGCGTTGTTTTTCTGCGATAGTAGATTTTGACCCCAATTTTATAGCGCAAACAAAATCTGTGAACTTGAACAAGATTAATATGGATTGGAACGTGAATTTTTCATATGTTTTAGTATATTTTATTGCTTTAATAGTTTTGAAACATATGTTCTACACATTCGTAAATAAATCTAATGTAAAATTATAACTCTTCTAAAGAAGCATTCATATAAATTCATAAAACATTTATATTTTAGCTAACTAATTTGACCAGATTATTTTGAACTCGTTCATGATAATACTTAATATTTTATATAATTCAAACATATTTTTACTATTAGAAACACTTTATTAAATACCTGATAATATTAGCGATAATATATGTTGAATTAGGTTATCAAAAACGTCAGCTTATCATATAAGCTGCAAATATTTCTTATAATTTGGTAACAATCACATACTTAATTTTTTTTGTTACCTAAAATTTATTTAAATTTTATCTCACTACGATTATAAAGCGTACCAAACAAACTAGTTATAGTTAGCATGTACCATGCATTTTTTTACCAAACTTAAATATGGATC